GGAAGATGATGCATTGACACAGTGGCTGCAGCGATGGGCTCAGGTTCAGCAAGGGCTGTGAAGCTGGCACAGCACCAGGCAGGGTTTCCCTGTTGTACGTGGGGTCGCTGGGAGCCAGAGCTGACTTGGCAGCACTAACAACAATAACAACAAGACTCTGGATAGTCTGTGGTGTGGCTTTGTGGTGAAAGTCCGAGGGCGAGGCGTTTGCCACAAGACATCTTCGTTCGTTGTAAAGGACCTGTCTTCCCTGACGCTTTGGCTGCTCAGAAACGCTGCTGAAGTTAAGGACCAGTGCCCCTGAATGAGCAGAGAGCCATTGTAAGTGCAGAGTGGCAACCCTCTAACGCCTGTGCTGATACATTGGAATGTGGACAGACGTGCCTGAATGGGTCTCTTGAAAAGGAAAAGACAGAGAAAATGACTTCAAGGAAACTCTTCTGACTTCTGCGTTCAGGTCAAAAGTGTCCTTTACAGCAAATCAAAGGCAGAAATGCCACAGAAGTAAACTGTTCATCTTGGCAGCATCTGACATTATCTACAGTAAAACCTGCAAAAGCCGGAGTCCGAGTAAGACAGAAGCCTGTTGGAGAAAGAAAATGCTCTGATTTCCAGTGACGGAGAAACCGAAAAACCCACTGCCATTTGAGCCACGTGACAGGAAAGTGGTAAGGCTGCACCTTGCCAAAGGCAGAAACCTTGCAAGACTTGGAAAAACAAGGCAGTCCCTCTGGTTCCGGCTCTCACAGGTTTCACTATCATGACAGTTGTGTTTGATTAATTAACTTACACAGATTTATGAAAATTTATGCTGCCCGGTCATGTGATGGAATCTGCTATCTGTGGTGGTTGTTGCAGAAATTAGTTATCTCTTTCATATCAAGAACTTTTAGGCAGTTGTTTCTAGGAAGGACATAACTCCAACTTGTTCTGTACCACCTCTTCCAGGTGTATATCATACCTTGCAGGTAAGGACTTCGTAGGGCAGTCCGGGGCTAGGGATCCCATGACTGGGGACAGTGATGCCTTCTGGAAACATACTGCACCCACCTTGAGCTCCTCGTCGGCTTGCTGCACTGCACGGTATGACGAGAGAACTCGTAGGTGCCGTGTGCAGCACATACTAACATCAAGCCTCAGGAGTGGCGGTTGCTGGTCTGCCCACCCTGTTCTTTTTTTCTGAGCAGTGCATGAGATCGACCAGCTGACTGAGGCCCTCCCATTCTGAACACACAGGTTTGTATTGCTGTGACAGAGCGGAGGACCATGCCTGCCAGAGTGCCTGCAAGAGGATCCTGATGTCTAAGAAGACAGAAATGGAGATCGTAGACGGCCTCATCGAGGGCTGTAAGAAACAGCCCTTGCCTCAAGATCCCCTTTGGCTCTGTTTTCTTCAAGGCTCACTGTCTCGTCACCCTGGGGTCACTGCACACCCTCCTCCCTCCACAGGCCTGGATGGGGCTAAATTGCATTGTTGTTCTAAAGCCAACACTTCAACGTGTAGGTCAGTATCTCATTTTCCTTTGTCAAAACCAGTAGAAATAGCGTTTTAATGAGTGATGTTAATCCTAGAGACTATGTTATATTCTTGCATTGTGTAGGCTTAGTGTTTAAAAGACAGTAGATCTTATTTCATTCTTTCATTCAGGAAATACATTTATGCCCAATATTGTCCTTATAAACTGAAAGAGCACCGCATGTTGGGGTGTGAGAGTCTGGGTAGGACTATGTGAACTCTTCCCTCAAGGAGACCATAAAGTAAGCTTCCATGGAGAAGGTGTCTTGATCTGACATTTAAGAGATACCCTTTTTATTAAGTTAGCAAATCTTGATCTTAATCATCTTTTTATTGTATTGATGCTCAGCCTGTGGCTGCATTCATACCCAGCGTTAGGCAGCAGCGTATCATCCATTCGAGTGCCGCCCTGAGAGGTAAAAGATGGGCAACAGACGTGGGAGGGAGGGAGCGTGACCCAGCGACATCTAGCATCCTGGGAGCACAGGTGGGATAGGAGTTTGCTTTATTAGAGCTGTTTTGGGTGAGAAGGACCACATGTTGCTAGGATATCCTGAAATGAATTTGATGTACCAGGATTCAGACAGTCTTTCCTGTGGCTTCTAAACTGGATGCACCTTTAGCCCCTCTGGGGCAAGGGGGTTGAGGGGACCGCACGTAGACTAGGCCATCAGACTTTACCAAAGATGTGAAAATCTAGAGAAGATTAACAGCGAGACAGAAAGGGAGGTTCAGTTGACCCTGTGAGAACAGAGTGAGATTGCTGATGGTATTTATAAGGAGCTCTGGTGGCGTAGTGCCTAAGACATCTGACTGCTAACCAGAATGTTGGTGGTTCAAACCCACCAGCCTCTCTGCAGAAGGAAGACTGGGCAATCTA